TCTACTAAGAAACTATCTATAGCTAAAATAACTTAAATAAATTGGATGACTTTTCTTGGCATGATCAGATGATTATAATGTAATAAGTCATGTATAGCACAGTAATGATCTGTAAGATAAAAGATAAATATAATATAATTATTAATAACTAATCTAATTTTATTACAAGAATTAATATAAATTTATTAAGATATTTAAAAGAATTAATTATTTAGATTATTTTATATTAAAATCAGTTAAAAATAATTAAATAGCTATAATATATCTAATTTATCTGATTTATAAGTGCTCACAAATATTATAATAATATTTTATATACATTCTACTAACTTTATATATTATAAATATTAAAGTAATAGACTTTGTAAAAAGCAAAAAGTAATTAGATATTTTTAAAAATTTTAGATATATATAAAAGAATTAAAAAAGAGCTAAAAAACTACTTACTTAAATTTAACATATTATATTTATTAAATAAATAAATAATTCAAATAAATCAAGAGCTAAATAGTTTAATAAATTCTTAAAAATACTTATCAAAAATATATATTATTTATATATAGTATAATAATAAATAAGACTAAAAATATAATTTATATCTATATAATTATTAAAAAATATCTAAGATATTTAAGTAATAATTATTTTTTTTAGTATAAAACTATATTGTAATAAATTATTATATAAAGAAATAATATTTTGAAAAATAAGAATATTTCATCTTTATAATAAAGAGTAATTATATTTTTTATTTTTATAATATATTTATCAAGCTTAATAATAGAATTAAATTCAAATTTAAAGCTAAATTCAGATTAAATACTCTAATTAATTATTTTAGTATCTAAGTAAAATAAAGTTAAAACTATCATTATTTTATATAATAAATTTTCTGATAATTTAAAATAAGACTTAGAATATATTTTTTTGATCATATATATTATATAAGATAACTTATTATAAAAATTATCAAAACTAAAATAAAAAAGTAAAAAATTAATTACTATTTTATATCAAATTTTCTTGAATTATCTATATATACTAACAAATCTTAAAAAATAAGCTTTAAAGATAAAAATATCAAATTCTTCAAAAAATAATTATATAACTAATTAAATAGATTATAATTTTATTTATTTTTATATTTAATATAAAAAATAATATATAATTTAATAATAATAAAGCTAGTATCAAGATATATAAAAAATTTCTATTATTATATTAACTAAAATATTTATAAAAAATATATTTCTAAATTATCTACTATATTTTGCTTAATAATAATTAGTTTTATAAAAGTAAGTATAATAATAATAAAATTTAAAAATATTTATTAAAGATAATAATAAATATAAAAATCTTTGAATTAGAATAACTTTATATATTAAGAATTTTAGCTATATTAGCTTTATTAAAACTAAAAAGAAATCAAGATTATAGTAACTATTAATAAAATAAATATTAATATATATAACTTTACTTATAATTCAGATATTTTTTTTGACTTTGATATTTCTAATAATAATTCAAGTAATTCAGATACTTTTTTAAATAGTTCAGAAATAAAGATTATATATATATATAAAATTGAAATAATAAAAAATATTATATTCTAAAATATAAAGTAAAAAGTAAAGTCTCATAAAGTAAAAATGTTATTATCAAGCTTTATAATAGAAGAATTAGTATTAAGTTATATATTAATATATTTAATCTTATATATAATCATAAAGTAAAACAAATCATATTATATTATATTGAATCTTAAGAGAATAATATTATATATAGACTTAAAGAATTATTACTCTGTAATAAATCTAATTTTTCAAGTTTGTAATATGCAATATATATATATCTAACTTATTTTAGTTCTGTCTTTATAATAAATATGATTACTTATTTTTGATTATATTTATGATTATTAGAATAAAATTAAAGATCAATATCAAACTATTTGAATAAAAAATATATTATTATGTAATTTAGTTAAGTTATTTTTGCTAAAATATACAAAATCTGAAATTGCAAATTATTATTATATATATCTATTACTAATATATATATCATATAATATATGATAAAAAAAGATATACTTTTAAGATATACAAGAAACTAAGTATTATTTGTAAAATTAATGTTGATTTTTGCATTTCAGCTGAAATTATTTAGGATTATCTATAAATATTAAGTAATTCTGAGTTAAAGTAATTAATTTATGAATGAATTGATCACTAAATCCAAAATTAATTTTGTTAATTGAAAGAAATATAATATATAAAAATAAGTCAAGTATATAGAAATTTACTTATCTAGTTATATATATTACTATATTTACTAATACTTATCTTTCAAAATGCTTGCATTAAATATTTTAAAAAATTCATTCTCAAAAAGATTACAGAAGATGTGGATATTCTAAAACTAAATCCATGCTTATTATATAATCAAGAATCTTTTTTATATGAAATAAAAAATCCATTTATCATACTTATTTGAGAATATATATATTATTATGACTACATCAAAAGCTCTATCAAGAAATATTTAATATATCCAAAGTCCAATTGCAAAAAAGAAGTGGAGTTTATGATTGATAGCATGTTGGGAAGTCAGAATATCAATAATCTTATAGATATATCCCCTATATTATTTGATAACTCTCAACTATATTCAAGTTTATCTAAAAAGTGTGTTGGTAAACCTATCAATAAATCATCAAGTAAGAAGATGAAAAAGCAAGTTCAAGAGAAGATTCACCTATATTAAAAAACTTATCAATGAGTTATCTACTGATACTTCTAAAAATGTAAAAATTTTACAATTTAAATCTGTTCTTGAGATAAATACAATCAATTTTCTTAATTTATATCAAAAACATCTCAAAATATTATTCTTTGTTATTTTAATTTGGGAAAAGTATTGGAGGATTACTTCAACTATTACAGAAAAACAAATCTCAAATACGTAGCTTAAGAGTTAATTAATAATAAGATTAGAACTCAGATTCTCAAATCAATTAGTGAAAGCTTCAAAAAATAAAAAAAAGGATCCAGAAGATTTATGATATCTTTAATGAGATTGGGATTAATAAAATCAAATGAATTCAGTCTTTTACAGTTACAACAATAGCAAATATATCCCAGGATGATATTGATTTTATATTAGCCAGACTTTCAATAATTTATGCCAAATTTAAAAAATAATAATCTAACATAATGTTACATGACATTATGATAATTTATGAAATAAAATTTAATTATGTTAGTAAATATGCTTAATTTTTCAATGTATTTTTATTTCATATTTTGCAAGTATTAATCTGCATGTATGTAATATGGAGCCTCTAAGAGAGCAATACTATGTGATTGATTATTATATGATAATTGATCACAAAAAAATATACTATATATATTAATCAATAATTATACTAGATATTCTTGAATCATATAATGTCAAGCCATTTCATAAATATAATCGATAACTTAAGATAGATAGATTAATAAACTCTAATCAGGAATAACTGGCAATTGATTACTTTGTTCAGATATTAGAGTGAAATAAGAACTAGTTTCTATATGATTATGAGGAGATATTATTTCAAGTAAAATACCAGTGTCATAGATTTTGAATTATCACAAGTCAAGAAATATAACTTTTGCTCCTAATTATTAATCCACCATTTATTGAGTATCTATTGATGTTACTTCTTACAAAGAGGATAAATATTATTATATCAAATCTAATACTCGTCATACTGATGTTTATCTTTCTGCATCCAAGTATTTTCAAGATGTATACATAACACTTTTTCCATAAAGTCATGGATGGCTTGTATTTATTCTTTCTCAGAGAGAGGGAGATTAAGTAGCCTAAGATGTGATTTCTTCTTTCTTTACAAGATTGTGAGGATCTGTGAAATAGGATTTATAGACTTCTTTTCAGTTTGAGAACTAACCTCTGTTGATATATTGCCGTGTCAGCTCCACCAATATCATCTGGTTCAGTTAAATAAGTGCATGACTTTTGGTCACGTGGTAAAGCTTCAATGTTAATGAAATACTTCTTAATTATATTGATTTGCATATCAGATTTACTTCGATCATAAATTTTATTCACAGTTTTTGGCCATGCCAGCTCCTCCACTGATAGTACATGATTTATAATATTCTGAATTTGAGTGTTAGTAAGATTTGAAATAATATTTACGCTATATGTAACTTGCTCAATTTTTTCTATTTCTATAGCATTAAAAAGATTATAAATTTTTCTAGCTCTGAGAGTTTTCTGTCGCAGATTCATATCTGTAATATCAAAATGTAGCTGTTTAACTTTCTTATATAAAAATTCTTTGCTGTTTTAATTTTAACTTTACCATTGGAAATAACTTCATTGAGCCTTTTATCATGCCTTTCTATATAGTGAAACCAATGCAAGATTTCTTCCTGACCAGATTGAATTGCTTTTCGAAATATTCAAACTATGCTTTGTGCTATAACCTGACTATGTTGACTTTTGTCATCCAGTATGTTCTGATTACTAATTATGTTTTTTCTGGAGGTTGGAGAGGCAGATAGCTCTTGTTTTAAATCTTGTTCTACAATCTGGTTTTTATCAGGTTGAGAAAGATCATCATTATATTTGAATGGATCTGTAGAATCAGAATTAATAGAAGGTTTAGATAATGTCAAGGATTCGTCAAGACTTTGATCGTGAATTTTATTCACAGTTTTTTCTGATTCTACTGAAGATAGGTCTTGATCTCGAAGTTTTTTCTCCTTAATCCTCTGAATAATCTCTTTACTAACTGTTTCTCTATACTTTGAATCAATTGCTTTGTCTTCCGTAGAAATAAGAGATGTGGAAGATCGGCTATCCTTTTCCTGATATGGATCAGAATCGGGTGTGTTATTGGAATTATTTTCTATTCGTTCAGGAGCGACATTAGAATCTGAAGTATTATCAGTTATATCCGATGCCGGAGCATTCTCAGTTTGTAAGTCTATATCATCAGAATTTGAAGTAATATCAGATATATCAGATGACTCACAGAGTGAGGATGCTATCGCATCTGGAGCATCAGGAGTATCGTTGAAATTTACCGGAGATTGCGAAACATCTTTTGTAGAAATACCTTTTTCTTTCCTCTCTGTTCTAATATAGCGAGTCTGGTCTCAAGCTCTATATTCTTTTGCTCTAGTTCCTTAACTCTAGCATCGCGCTTTGTATTTTCTTCTATAGCCTGCCTTAGCTTCACATTCTCAGCCTTGACCTCAATATACATCTTTTAATTTCGGTATTCACAGCTACAAGCTTAGAAATCTGTCTTCCAATAATCAATTTCAGATTGTGTATTTGCCATTGTTTTATGTAAGATGCAGATATATTCAAAAGTTTAATCGCATGAAAAAAATATTGGTATAGAATCGCTTTAACGCACTTTATTGATTGTAATAAAATCGAAAAGAATAAAAAATCCATTTATTGTTTCTATACTATTACCTACACGAAACATGTAGTGTCAAAAATGAATTAAAAATCCCGCACCAGTTGGTCGTTAGGCAGTAAACTAATTTATCTTTTTCGAGCCCCGCTTAAAGTTTATGTTTACTGCCTCCTGTGATACTAAGCCGGAAGTTGATTCATGAAAATGATTGTCAACCATAGAGATGGGCAAATGCGCGCATAGTTCATCACTATGCGTACTATGCGCATAGTACGCATATGCGCATAGTATACATGTAATACGCATAATGATCTACATGTACATATATAGTAATC